TGATGTATCTCTTTGGGTCTAGCTTTGGTAGATATTTTTTTATATCATTATGGTCATAATAATCGAAACATTTTAAAAAACACAACAGCTTAATTATAGATCCATGACATATATCCTGAGGAGGGTGGGATTACCACTTTTTATATGTTCATACAGTCCCTGTGTGGACAGACAAAAACAACCGGCACCGGTTTACAAGGTCAGACACGAGAAGTGATCCGAGAGAAGTCCACTTCGAGATTTTGGAAAAAAAAAAACAACACTTTAAAAATCTAACTATATTACATAACACAAAATGATATTTGAATGACAGCTGAAGAACAAATGCAACGGTCTTTAATTGAGACATTCTGATCACTTCTCGATATAATGTACAGATTATAACCATCTTAAATTGTATATAATGTTCACTCTTTTGTAAGAGGCGAATCTCATTTATAGAAAAATGCATCAGTATCATTGTGGATAATTATTGTGGAATGAAGTCCTATGTTGTAATTTTAATATTTATTGAAGTGTGTTCCAATAGGGTCTAATAATAATAATGTCATGTAGGTAGATACTAGCTAATTAAAATGTGTTAATAGGCCTAACTGTATTTCATATTTTGCAAAAATAAATCATCTTATGTATGCACAGCTGCCGCCGTCATCACTGACGGTTTTGCAATTATAATAGGCTACCATACAGGACAGGACTCGCTTATACTTTATTTACTTGAAAATGACAGATTTTGTTTAATTTTTAATGTATTAGTTTCATTTATTTATAAGATAAAATCTTTTGCGATAAGGTTTGACTCGAGAACTTAGTAGCAAACAGGATCAGCAATCAACCACATCTTTGTGCCAATGATGGATCAAGCAGATATCTTAAGGCTAAGAAAGTATATGCTTAATACTAATTCTCGAGGCCTTACATCTACAGTTTTTTCTCATGTCCTGAAAGCGCCAACATGTACTGTGTCTATTTAAGACGTTGGGGATAAGTCCGCTACTTCTTTCTGTCTTTACATTAGACATAATCATGTGCTTAGTAGTAGTAATTACAGTGGACTTCTGTATCTATTATGATCTATCAGACTAATTTAAAACACTCGATTTGAGACATCAAAACTATGTCTACAAATGAAATTCAGAATTGCCACACAAAACGCCTATCTATTCGATATCAAGCAAAACCATCAATCCTATGTGTACGTTAAACGAAGCCTTCGAATGATTTCCTTAAATCCATCTCTGAATTGTCTATTCATCACACAGTAGATTATTGGATTGCAAGAGGAATTCATCACTGCTAGCCATGCTGCAACGGTAAAATACCAGTTTGGTAAACCTACGTCAAACAACTGACAGATCATAATAATCTGGTATGGAAACCAACAAACTGTAAACGTTCCAAGTACAATGGCAAATACGGAGGCACATCTCACTTCGGATTTCAACCGGGAACCACCGTAAATTGTAATCGCTGTACCAACGGAGGCATCACTATTCACTTGCCTCAAGTGTCGGAAAGTTAACTTACCTATATGATAATATGCTTTGACTGTTATAGCATATGGAAGAAACATACACACGACAAACAAAGCTACAGTAAATGTTGCGTCGTCTCCCCACGGAGTAACACATGTAAAGATGTACGGTACGTAAACATACTTCCCCCAGCCTAGTATTGGCAATATTGAGAATACGAACGATTGAATCCAAGTCCAACTTATAAGAGAAATGATGTTCCGTTTGCACATTTTTGATTCATAAACTAACGGATTAATAATAGATTGATATCTTTCGATAGCTACTGCACACAAAGTCGAGATGCTTGTTAAACAAAGTTGTGCAGTAACGAACGCTGAAACTTTACAAAACGCATTTCCAAATGGCCACTTGTTAGCAATAGAAGCAATAATCATAACAGGCATAATCAACAGTCCGTTGAAAAAGTCTGCAATAGCAAGGTTAGCAACAAACACGGATGTTTTTGTTCGAAGTGATTCTTTTGTGTAGATAATAAAAAGTGTTGCTGAATTACCTATCACAGCCAACAAAGTAATGAAGATCAGAATGATTGTCCTCACAACTATTACTACCGAAGACGATAATTCAATGTACGAGATTGTTGTGTTCATCTTCAAGAC